GACGTGATCTGTGAAAAGCTGAAAAAATTACAGACACTCCTGTATGAAACTTTATCTTGTGGCCTTTGTTGTAATAGAGGTACAAAAAAATCCTCATCTCTCAAACTGCTGAGACTTGCACAACTGTCACTCAAGACTAAACACAGTTTCACAACACAGCGAGGAACAACCAGCAGCAGGCATGTTGGTGATATTCATGGATACAAAGTTGACGTATGTTCATTTTATGCAAAGAAATAGGATCCCTGCTCAGATTAGCACTCTGATCTCACAGAACTAAATGCAACAAAGGGAATTTGCTCGTGTGAGTCAGCAACAGAGAGTCAACAGTTCCTGTTTGAGCAACAACACAACTCTGAACTGTTCTTTTCAAAGAGGAAATTCAGTGGGTGGTGCAGCAGAGTGTAAAACAGCTATAAACCACAAACTCTGCATGACTTTCTCCATTTTATGTTCTGTGCTGTTTAATCAGGACAGCCCAAATATTTGATTTCTAATTCTTAATCACACAGTTAAAGACGTTTAATTTTATTCTTTAATCTGTGAGTCAGCAGATTCAAATCAACACATTTCTTAAATCTTTATCTCTTTTATTGAGAAAGCAGTTGAACATAACAGTAGTATGGCTTTTTACACTGTCTTTGCTCTCACATTTTTAACTTATAATTGAAAAGGAAAAAAAGGACTTGGGTTAGGAGGCAGCAGGTAAGTTTGCATAGTACTCAGGGTTTTAACGTCTTATACAAAATCACATCTCACAGGCTTAACATAGTCTGTCCATTTAGACCATATTCTGTAGAAGGTATCGCTCTGAAGTTTAAGAGAAAATGACACTTTTTCCATCGTATAGATCTCTTGTACAGAATGTATCCAGTCTTCCATCGTCGGTGGTTCAGGCCTAAGCCATCTCCTCGTAAGAGGCTTTTTACTTGCGGCCAGTAGGATATACAGTCTTTTATCATTGGAGTTCAGTTTGGCAACTGGTAAATTGCACAAAATTAGGGTCTCAAAGGTTGAAGGTAAAACAAATGAGAAAACATTTTGTAGATGATCATGGATTAGAGACCAACACTGGCGAACAACTTTACAGTCCCAAAAGATATGGAAATGGTTAGCTCCGTCTCCCCACATCTCCAACATTTGTCGCCAGTTCCTCGATATTTTTGTTGATCATCAAATCAACACATTTTTATTGTAGTTATTTATATTGTATTGTGTTTATCCCCGAAATCAGCAAAGCTCCACTTTCTGCTTTCTTTGAAAAACTGTGAACCAAATTTAAACAGACCCACTGAGTCACTGTTTAACAGTCAAACAGACTATGAGTCACACAGAGGCCACAAAATATCACATTCAGCTTCCACTCCATGCAGCTTATGTCTCTCTAAGGAATTATCTTTTTAACTTCAGTTCAGATGCTTCATCTTCTGTGAATTCAGTACAATTTGGAGCAAAAGAAAAAACAAATCAGGTTTAAACTAAGAACAAAAAATAAACACTCATCTGATCATTGTTACCATACACAGTGAGCAGGTTAGTCAGGACTGTGTTCACTGATATGAAGCCTGGTTTATATTTCTGTCACATCTTAGACTGATATGTGTATTTAAACTCTAAAAAGGACATCTGAAGATTTGCATGAGGAAAAACTAAATAAAGCTTTTAAAAATGTAGTATGGTTGTTTAGTTTTTCCATTTTTGGTTCTGTGAAAAAGTAAATAAACAATATTAAAACATTTTAAATAAAGAAAAACCTGCCTTTTTAATCATTTTATTGAGTGATCATGTATTTTGTCCTATTTTTACCGATTAAATATGTTGTTTCTGCTACTTTGATGTTTTTATGTTTTAGTTTCTGCTGTATTTTAGCAATAAATACTGTTTCACCAGGTTTAACAGGTTTCACAGAAAGCCCAGCAGAGGATGTACTTCCTGAGGCAGCTGAAGAAATTCAACCTGCCAACACGGACGATGATGCAGTTCTACACCGCAATCATCGAGTCCATCCTCACCTCCTCCATCACCGTGTGGTACGCTGGAGCCACTATCAGGGACAAACAGACTGCAGCGTGTTGTGCGCTCTGCTGAGAAGGTGATTGGCTGCAGACTCCCATCTTTGCAGGACCTGTACACCTCCAGGACATTGCGGCGTGCAGCTCGGATCTCAGCTGACCCTTCTCACCCTGGACACAGTCTGTTTGACCTGCTCCCCTCAGGCAGGAGGCTCCGGTCCATTCGCACCAGAACCTCTCGACATAAGAACAGTTTCTTCCCCTCTGCTGTTGGACACATGAACAATAACCGTATGACTGTTCCCACCACTAACACATGACCCTACGCTGTGTCACTGCATCATTCCATGTTTGGCACTGATCACCACCTGCACTCATGTATATATCTTTCTACGTAGCACTTTTAATTCTTATTCTCATGTATATATCTCATGTATATCTCATGCACATATCTTTCTTTCTACATAGCACTTTCATTCTTATTGTTTGCACTGAAGCACCGCAGCAATTTCCTAATGTTGTAAACCTCAACATCTGGCAATAAACCCCATTCTGATTCTGATTTACAAGATAAATAAAATAAAAGACAACCTCTCACAAACAGCTGATACTGACGGCTCAAAAGTTGCAGAACTGCACTCCAGATACAGACAAGTGTATTTACACTGTTTTTTTCTTCTTTTGAATCACAGAAGAAGAACACTGTAAAATGAATAAATAAATAAAAAGAAAAACAAACAGTGGGAGAGGTGAAGCTGAACTTTAACCCAAAACCTTTCTGCATTTAGTTTGATTACAAGATCCACGCGCTCGAGCTGTTATACTGCTGACAAAGTGCGAGTCCCACACTGGTACACAACTGTCATAACCCCCACTGACTGTCACTTCTCAGCGATTGAACACAACTTAATTTATTTATTTCCTGATGTTCTTATGTCTTGCTTGTTTCAACTGTTTACTTTGAATGGTTGAACTCTACCAGGTCCTGTTAGACACTATGAAACACATGCAGACTTTGCGATGTTGAACTAGCATTTTCATTGTGAATATTTATCACGAGGGTAAACAGGCACTCTAGCTGCTGTCTCAGAGCCCACGGAGGTCAGTAAATGCAGGATATCATTGTGTTACCTGGCATCACTGAGCCTAACACTGGGACCATCTATGAATCTAATTCATGGTTCATATCCATGCCATTCCACAGAAATCTATACTTATTAGTGCCAACTATTCCAGAGACGTGAAAACATAAGAGTTCATACTGCTCGATATGAACCCTCAACCTACTGCCATGGGACTGTGCAGACAGCGGAGGTACAGCTGTACTTATAAATTTACATAACCTGGCAGAATTTGTGACTTTGGGAATTATGAGAGAAAATACAAAATCTTTTATTTCACATGTTCTTATGTTTGACCTTTTTAAATAATAATGACATCAGAAAAAACTCAAATGACCCCAATCAAAAGTTTACATACCTTGGAAATTTTGGCATGATAACAAACAAGTTGACACACACAGGTCTAAATGACTATTATGGTAACCATCCTTACCTGCCATTTGGTTGCTTGTTTGTGTGTGTTATCAAAAGTCAGTGAGGTTCTGGTCTTCAGACAGACCGCTGTATGTTTTTTTGCACTGACGTTGATGAAATCAGAGACAAAGAGACCGCAAAAGAACTATCAGAGAATTTGTAGAAGAAAGTTTAACTTTATAAAACAGTAAAAGGATATTTAACCTCCTAAGACCTGAACTCTTCCACAGCATGCATGTTTAATTTCTCTTTGATATTTGGGCTGATTGGGGCCCAATGAATGTAAAATCAAAGAATTACCAGATTTTCTTTTTTACCTGATGGTTGTTTCTAAGAAAAACGAAAGCCACATATGAGCATATTTGTTTACATTTTTGACAGAACAGTAGCAGTATAATGTCCTCTTAAGTGGATATCAGGCCCTTGTAGAGCAAAATTGAGTATTTTGGTCTAAATAACCCAAAATGTGATGTCCACATATGTGGACGCCAGGTCGTAGGAGGTTAAAGATATCCCACAAGTGAAAACATCAGTCAGCAATGTCCAAACTCTAATTATGTAGAATTCTGTAGAAACCAAGCCTCAGTAAGTGTAGGCCAAAAAAAATTCAGCCACACCTGCCAGAAAAATGTGTGGGATGAAAAGAAGCTCTGTGGTTGTAACAGTCAGTTTTCTGCATCTCGTGATGTTAGCTTCAGATGCTGAGGGGCTTCTATTGAACTATATCAAACTGTCTGAAGTCCTGACTCAGTCTAAACGTCTCAAATCTCTCACATCTCAAAACACCGCTGTCACTCCAAAAACTTCCTCCCGTTTCTTAACAACTAGATGCCATGTTGCCATATAATTTTTTGATTGGTCGACATGGTACATTTTTCCACCAATAGGGAAAGGTTTTTTTTGGTTTTGTTTTTGCTCACAGGGTTTCGAGTGTTTTCCTTATAAAACACAGTTTTTACCGTTTCTTCCTGCAGTAAATATAAACAACGATAGTATTCAGAAAAGAAAACCAAACATTGCAGATATTTTTATCATAACTCTGGTTTTACGTGGCCCATCAACACAATTTAAAAACTGGTATAAAGTCCACGCTTTTTCCATCAATTGAACCTTTGCTTCACAATTTAAGACAGGACTTGTGTGGTGTTTATATCCCTGTGTGCAATGTATCTCTAAAGTTGTCGGCTTATACCAATGATTTAATTGTCCTGATCAACTCACAGAAAGATATCGAGGTTTTAGAGAACAGTTCCTCATTTTGGTTGTATTTCTTCTACAAAAATACACTGGGAAAAAAGTGAGAGAGTTATATTCTTCTTAACTCCATCTGTCGTTCTTCAGTCTGAGAGCTAACCTAAGATGGCAAAATGTGGTAAAAATAATGCAATTAAAAAGATGATCTGGGTTACTTTTTGACTGAAACAGTTCATGACAGATGAAGCTTGATTATAGCTCAGTTCAGTTTCAGGGTCTTGTGGAACTCGGTGAGGATCTCACTGAAGGAGTCGTCTTTGGCCACCTGCTCCACAATCTCACGGACTCCGCTCTCTAAAGCCCAATAATATCGCTTCACCTCCTCCAGCTCAGACTGCAATCGTTCCTCCACCTGCTGTTTCTCCTCCTGAGCCTCCTTCAGCTTCTTCTCATACTTTAATTCCACTGCTTTGATTTCCTCCTTCAGCTTCTTCTCGTAGAACTCGCTGAGCTCTGACTCTCTCTGTTTCAGCATCTCCTCCACCTGCAGGTAGATGAAGTTCGAGTAAAACTCTCCTCCATTATTGGCTACCATTTTATCCACCTTTTCCAGCAGATCAAGGACCTGACCACGATCATCAGTTCTATGGTTGTTGAAGATGTGATATCTGTTTCCAGCCTTCTTCAGGACCTCCTGCAGCTCAGCTCCTGCTGTCTTCAACATCTCATCAAAGTCTGCTCCGACTTTGTCTCCATGGGTGAAGAGGATCACGGTGTACCTCCAGGCACCGTCTCCAAAGATCTCCTCCATCTTCTTCACAGCGTCTCGTTCCTCTGCAGAGAAGGGTCCCACCCTGATGATCAGCAGGATGGCGTGGGGCCCTGGGGCTGACATGTTGATGCATTTGGAGATCTCCCTCTTCACGACATCTTCAGACAGAGAGGTGTCGAAGAGGCCGGGAGTGTCCACCACAGAGACCATCCTCTGGACCAGCTTCTCCTGCTGCTTGGAGCATTCAGCCGTCACTGAGGAGGAAACAAAATATTTGATTAATGGAGGGATTGTTTTTGTTGCCAACTCCTCCTCCCAGCCCCTCCACCCCAATAGCCAACAGAGAACAGGTGTGTGTGAAGACCCCATACCGACATCCTCCCACTCATGTGTAGTGTTGCTGCGTCTTGTTCCCCCGTTACCCACAGCCTCAGCGACACACCAACCAGGACTCAAGCCCCCCAAGGCCCAGTGAGCGCTCTAGCCTGGAAGCACAGCACCCCCAAACCCCTAGCCCACCCCTTACCCACCCAGGCTACCAGCCCTAGGCCTTTTATTTTTCCAGTTCATGAGGACCATTTTCTTGGATAGGGCAGCAAAAACCATGTCAGCTGTATTTATTTCTGTAGTGAAATCATCTAATTTTGCCCAACAAACACACTAAAGGGGAGGTTGTAATGTTACATTTCAGACACTTTGATAAGTCTTCACATATCTCGCGCCAAAACTTCTGAACTGGTGGACAGAACCAAAGAGCGTGGATGTAATTGTCCAGTGTATTGGTTTGACATTGTGAGCAGTTGTTAGAAGAAGTATAGCCCATCTTGAACATCCGATGACCTGTATAGTGCACTCTATGTAGTATTTTGTATTGTATTAATTGCAGACTGGGATTTCTAGTCAATTGAAAAGTTTAAGCATACCAGAAGTTTTGGTCTAAACTGATTGATAAATCTGCTTCCCATTTAGCAATAGGAAGGGATGTTGATTATATTGTATATTGATTTTGTATAACTACTAGTCTGTCAAACGGAATAAAGTCTGTTCCTTCTAATATAAGTTCCAAGTCTTTAATTCCTTTACAACTCCAATCTGGGAAGTTGATCATACTATTGTTCTCTAATATGTCAGGGTTGTTCCAGATAGGTGTATGTTTGCATGGGATTAATGATTCTTCTGCTGGCCGTGGAACTGTTACTTTTATCAAGGAACGGGACCGCGGCACATCTC